AACCAGAATATATTTAAATTTACCTGGAAGCCCTCTGCTTTGAGTTGTCTTCCCTTTCTGGACAAAACCAGTGTTTTTTGCTTGTTTGTTTTTGAGACAGTGTCTTGCTCTGTTGCCCAGGCTAGAGGGCAGTGGCATGATCTCGGCTCACCGTAACCTCCACCTCCCATGTTCAAGCGATTCTCCTGCCTCAACCTCCCGAGTAGCTGAGATTACAGGCACCCACAACTGCGGCTGGCTAATTTCTGTATTTTTAGAAGAGATGGGGGTTTCAACATCTTGGCTAGGCTGTTCTTGAACTCCTGACTTTGTGATACACCCACCTCGGCCTCCCAAAGTGCTGAGATTAGAGGCATGAGCCACCGTGCCTAGCCGCCAATGTATTTCTTAAATGTATTTGGTTGATGTCATATGCCAAACTATATCAAAGCAAGCTGTACTTTGATCATCTTGGGCACACGTTCTCAGGACCTCCTGAGGGCTGTGTCGTAGGCAATTATCACTCATATTTGGCTCAGAATCAACTCTTTAAAAAAAATTTTTTTTTAAAAAGTCATCTGTGACAAACCCACAGCCAACATTACACTGAACGGGAAAAAATTGAAAACATTTTCTCTGAGAATTGGAACAAAACAATAATCCCCAACCTCACCACTTCTATTCAACATAGTACTGGAAGTCCTAGCCAGAGCAATTAGAGAAAAGAAAGAAAGAAAGAGCATCCAAGTTGGCAGAGATGGTCAAATTGCCACTGTTCACCCATGTTATAATTATATACTTAGAAAACCCTAAATACTCATGAAAAAGCTCCTAGATATGATAAACAAATTCAGTAATGTTTCAGGATACAAAATCAGTCTGCACAACCGGGCACAGTGGCTCTCGCCTGTAATCCTAGCAGTTTGGGAAGCTGAGGTGGGTAGATCACCTGATGTCAGGAGTTCAAGACCAGCCTGGCCATCATGGTGAAACACCATCTTAAAAAAGAAAAAAAAAAAATCAGTCTGCACATATTAATGGCATTGGTATATACCAACAGCGACCAAACTGATATTTAAATCGAGAACTCCACCCCATTTTAAAGCAGCCACAAAAAAATAATTAGGAATATACCTAACAAAGGCAATGAAAGATTTCTACAAGAAAAAACTATAAAACATTTGCTGAAAGATATTATGGATGACACACACAAATGAAAACACATCCCATGCTTATAGATGGCTAGAGTTAGTATTGTAAAAATGAACATACTACCAAAAGCAATCTACAAATTCAATGCAATTTCCATCAAAGTAACACCATTAGTCCTCACAGAACTAAAAAAAATCTAAAATTTATATGAAATTAAAAGAGCCTGCATAGCCAAAGCAAGACAAAATCTACTCAAGATGAATAAAAAATGTTAAGACCTAAGGGCCGGGCGCGGTGGCTCACACCTGTAATCCCAGCACTTTGGGAGGCCAAGGCGGGTGGATCACGAGGTCAAGAGATCGAGACCATCCTGGTCAACATGGTGAACCCTGTGTCTACTAAAAATACAAAAAATTAGCTGGGCACGGTGGCACGTGCCTGTAATCCCAGCTACTCAGGAGGCTGAGGCAGGAGAATTGCCTGAACCCAGGAGGCAGAGGTTGCGGTGAGCTGAGATTGCGCCATTGCACTCCAGCCTGGGTAACAAGAGCGAAACTCCGTCTCAAAAAAAAAAAAAAAAAGTGTTAAGACCTGAAACTATAGAAATTCCAGAATATATTATTGCATAAACTCTTCTAGACATTGGCTTTAGCAAAGGGTACATGGCCAAGTCCTCAAAAGCGCATTCAACAAAAAGACTGATGAGACAATTCTCAAAAAAAGATATAAAAATGTCTAACAAACATGGGTTAAAATGCTCAACATTATTCATGATTAATGATCAGGAAAATGCAATTCAAGACCACAATGTGATACCACCTTATTCCTGTAAAAATGGCCATAATTAAAACATCAAAAATAATACACATTGACATGGCTGTGATGAACAGGAAAAATTTTTAATACTACTGGCAGAATATCGTACAACCACTATGGAAAACAGTACGGAGATTCATTAAAAAGCTAAATTAGAACTGCCATTTGATTCAGCATTGCCTCTACTGGGTATCTATAGAGAGATAGACGTCATTATATGAGTAAGACACTTGCACACGAATGTTTATAGCAGCAGAATTTGCAATTGCAAAAATATGGAAGCAGCCTAATGCCCATCATCTAATAAGTGGAAAAAGAAAATGTGGCATACATATACCAATGAAGGTTACTCGGCCATAACAAGGAATAAAATAATAGCATTGCAGCAACCTTGCTGGAGTTGGAGACCATTATTCTGAGTGAAGTAACTCAGGAATAAAAAAATCCAAACATTGTATGTTCTCTTAAGTGAGAACTAAGCTATGAGAAAGTAAAGGTGTAAAAATGATATAATGAACTGGGTACTCAGCGAGAAGGGTGGGAGGGGGTAAGAGATAAAAGACTACATATTGGGTACATTGCAGGCTGCTTGGGAGATGCATGCACCAACATCTCAGAAATGACTACAAAAGAACTTATCCATGTAACCAAACATCAATTGTACCCTTTTTAAGGTACCTTAGAAACAATAACAAAAAACCCCAAACCTTCATAAGTTTAACTTTCTGTGCTTTGGCTGTTTTTGTTTGGTTGGTTTTGTTTTAGAAAGGGTCTCATTCTGTCACCCAGAATAGAGTGCAGTGGCTTGATCAGAGCTCACTGCAGCGTCCACCTCTTGAGCTCAGGAAACCACCCTCCCGCAACCTCTCGAATAGCTGGTATTAAAGTGCAGGCCACCATGCTCACAGTTAATTTTTGTATTTTTTTAGACACGTGTTTTTGCTATGTTGCCCAGGCTGATCTCAAATTCCTGGTCTTGACCTCCCAAAGTGCTAGGATTATAAGCCTGAGCCACAAGACCTGACCAGAATTTTTTTTTTTTTTTTTTTTTTTGAGATGGAGTCTCACTCTGTGGCCCAGGCTGGAGTGAAGTGGCATGATTTCGGCTCACTACAACCTCTGCCTCTCGGGTTCAAGCGTTTCTCCTACCACAGCCTCCTGAGTAGCAGGGACTACAGATGCCCACCACCACGTCCAGCTAATTTTTGTATTTTTTAGCAGAAATGGGATATTACCATATTGGCTAGGCTGGTCTCGAACTCCTGACCTCATGACTTGCCCGCCTCGGCCTCCCAAAGTGCTGGGATTACAGGGGCGAGCCACCACGCCTGGCCCAGAATCCTTTTTTTAAATTATTATTGTGATAAGATGATATAGAAATGCTAACTATATTTAGATCTGTTAGTTAAAAAAATGGAAAAAAACCTCTTTATTAAAAAACAAAATATTTTTTATCTACAAATATTGACAGAAAACAGTTCAAAATGAATTCCCAGGAATATCACTAAAAATTAGTTTGTTAAGAGTTAATGTAATTAACCAGTTCTTTTAGACAGTATATAAACAAAGGCCAGGAGTGGCTCAGGTCTGTAATCTCAGCACTTGGGGAGGCTGAAAGCAGGCACATTATTTTGAGTTTAGAAGTTCAAGACAAGCCTGAGCAACACAGCAAATCCAGTCTCTACTTAAAATACAGAAATAAACCAGGTATGATGGCGCACATCTTTTATCCCAGCTATTGCTGAGGCTGAGGAATCGGTTGAACCCAGAGTTGGAGGTTGCAGTGTGCCCAGATCACGCCACTGCACTTCAGCCTGGGTGACAGAACAAGACTGTCTCAGAAAACAACAACAATGACAAAAAACGAGAGAGTTTATGAGCAATAGCAAAATATGCTTTTGATGAAGAAAGAAACATTACTTCTACTTTGAAATTACTTAAAGGTTGTTTTAAATTGAAAAAATATAAAAAATGTAAATTAAAATAAAATACAGAAAGTTAAAAAATGGCCGGGCGCTGTGGCTCACGCCTGTAACCCCAGTACTTTGGAAGGCTGAGGTGGATGGATCCCGATCATCTGAAGCCAGGGGTTCGAGACCAGCCTGGCCAACATTAGACCCCATGTCTACTAAAAATACAAAAAAATTAGTCGGGCATGGTGGTGCATGCCTGTAATCTCAGCTATTCCGAAGGCTGAGACAGGAAAATCGATTGAACCCAGGAGGCAGAGATTGCAGTGAGCCGAGCTCAGGCCACTCCACTTCAGCCTGGTCAACAGAGCAAGACTCCAATCTCAAAAAAAAAAAAAAAAAAGTTAAAAAATTTAAGAGGTCATAAAATATCCTAAAAATCTAGAGCAGTGATAAAGACAAATTTGGTGGACTTCTTTTTTTAATTTTAATTATATATATTTTTGAAACAGAGTCTCACTGTGTCACTTTGGCTGGGGTGCAGTGGCACAATCTCGACTCGCTGCAACCTCTGCCTTCTGGGTTCAAGCAATTCTCCTGCCTCAGCCTCCCGAGTAGCTGGGATTACTGGCGCTCCATTATGCCCAGCTAATTTTGTTTTCTTTCTTCATTTTTTTTTTTTTGAAATGGAATTTCGCTCTTGTTGCCCAGACTGGAGTGTAATGGTGTGATCTAGGCTCACTGCAACCTCCGCCTCCCAGGTTCACGCAATTCTCCTGCCTCAGTCTCCCAAGTAGCTGGGATTACAGGCATGGGCCACCATGCTCAGCTAAATTTGTATTTTTAGTAGAGATGGGGTTTCTCCATGTTGTTCGTGCTGGTCTCGAACTCCTGACCTCAGGTGATCTTCCTGCCTCGGCCTCCTAAAGTGCTAGGATTACAGGGGTTAGCCACTGCACCTGGCTGCCCAGCTGCTTTTTGCATTTTTTTTTTTTTGACTGCAACCTCTGCCTCCTGAGTTCAGGCAGTTCTCTGCCTCAGCCTCTCTAGCAGCTGAGGCAGAGAACTGCCTGAACTCAGGAGGCACCTGCCGCCACGCCCGGCTAATTTTTTTAATTTTTAGTAGAGACGGGGTTTCACCATGTTAGCAGACTGGCCTTGAATTCCTGACGTCGTGATCCCCCCCGCCTCGGCCTCCCAAATTGCTGGGATTAAAGGTGGGAGGCACCGCGCCCGGCTGATGAATTTACTTATAATGTTTTATCAAATTAGCTCTAGTATTGATAATGCTCTATTACCAAAGTGAATGTTGATTTTCTTTTGAACAAAAATTTTATGTATCAATATACATAAAATGGTTTTGTTCACATTTTGAATACATTGAAAAAGAGAGCAAAAAAGAGACCGAATTTTCCCATGCTCTAGGGTGGGCCTGGCTCAGCTCAAGGAGGAAGCCTTGCCTGAAAATGCAGCAGCTTAGATTGTCACACGTTCTTCATTCAGCTCCGCGTCTCATCACATCTTCTGTCACTCAGAGTCAGAGAAGGCGGGGTCTTAAATGTTATCCAATCAGGGACACTGGTCTGGGAACTGTCCAATCAGGCACACAGCGGGAGCGGACAGGGCGGCTTCCGGGATGTGGCGGGGTCTTTGTCTCTTGCTGCGGCCGGACCTCCATGTCTCTGCTTCACTCGTCTCTGCCCTCTCCTTTTAGAGGCCGAGCCTCTGTGACTCTGTGACCTGCAGGTATTGGAGATCCACACCTAAGACGCCAGGACCCTGTGAAAGCCTAGAAATGGTGAGAGTGCTGGGTGCGACATTCCGACAGAGGGGATGGGGCTGATTGGAACCAGTGCGAAGTGGCCGTGGTGGACTCAGGCCTCTCCGCTGTCAGCTCAACAATCTGTGCCTCTAGTTCTCCTTGCCCAGCTGGGCTTCAGTCCCCTTCAGCCATAAGATGGCGGCTGCACTGACAGTCGGCTCCCGGGCGTCTTGTCTTTTCCCTGCCCAGTGACTGTGCCCTGGCCTGGAGCCCTCTCTGGGCAGCTCTGCATCGGTAGGCTCCCTCTCTCTTAGATTGTGCAGGGACCACTGGAGGATCCTCAGCACGGAATCCTGACTCGGGGTGCGGGTTCATGAATGGGAAGAGCTTTGGTCCATGGAGTTCCCAGGCTTTCTTTTTTCCTATTAAAAATTCACTGGCGTCACCGTGAAAATATTAAATAATTAAAGAGTGATTCCAAAATTGTAGAGCACCTAGCTGTGGTTTGTAATTTGTGGTCCATGGAAGGGACTTGATGGAAAGATTTTTTTGAGGTTCAGGATAAAGAAAACCAAATTCAATAATTGGCAAGGTATGTAGTGTTTTTTTTTTTTTTTTCTCCCCGGAGACAGAGTCTCACTCTGTTGCTTAGGCTGGAGTGCAGGGGTGTGATCTCGGCTCACCGCATCCTCCGCCTCCCGGGTTCAAGCGATTCTCACGCCTTAGCCTTTCTAGCAGCTAGGAATACAGGCAGCCCTCATCACACCCAGCCAATATTTTTTTTATTTTTAGTAGAGACGGGGTTTCACCATGTTGGCCAGGCTGGTTTTGAACTCCTTACCTGAGGTGATCCACCCACCTTGGCCTCCCAAAGTGTTGGGATTACAGGAATGAGCCACCATGCCTGGCCTAGTTTCTTTATTTTTACCATCTAGGTGGAAATACCCCGATTGTGTAATCAGTGCTTAATTGACAGTTTAAAGTTGTTTAAGCCTGAATTTTGTTCCGGCAATGTAGTAATTTACCAAAAAAATGCTCTTGAGTATAGTTGTTTTTTTTTTTAAAGAAATTGAAATCCGGGGACTAGAGCCACCTCAATCTGATTGCCTGCCACATAATTATTTTCACACTCCACAGGGGACTGATTTTTCCCTGAATTTTTCACATGTGCTTTCAAGCAGGGCCTCAAGTCCTCCCTTGTCACCTATCCCTCCAGCCTAACTCTGGCTTGCAGTAAAATACTAAATTTCCATTTTTTTTCTGACATTTCCAAATACCAATTTCCCCTTTTGTTTAATTTTCTTTTTTTTTTTTTTTTGAGATGGAGTTTTGCTCTTGTTGCCCAGGCTGGAGTGTAATGGTGCAATCACTGCTCACCGCAACCTCCACCTCCCGGGTTGAAGCAATTCTCCTGCCTCAGCCTACCAAGTAGCTGGGATTACAGGCACCCGCCACCACACCTAGCATATTTTTGTATTTTTAGTAGAGTTGGGGTTTCACTGTTTTGGGCATGTTAGTTTCCAACTCCTGATCTCGTGATCCTCCTACGTTGGCCTCCCAAAGTGCTAGGATTACAGGTGGGAGCCACTGCACGCAGCCCAATTTCCCCTTTCTAATTCACTTGATCAACTATTTGTTTTTTAGTGTACATTTTGATAACTATATTAATTTACCTTTTTTTTAAAAAATTCTTGAGATGGAGCCTTACTCTGTCACCCAGGCTGGAGTGTAGTGGCGCAATCTAGGCTCACAGCAACTTCAGACCCCTGGACTCAACCTATTCTCCTGTCTCAGTCTCCCAAGTAGATGGAATTACAGGTGCCCACTGCCATGCCTGGCCAATTTTTGTATTTTTAGTAGAGACATGGTTTCACTATGTTTGCCAGGCTGGTCTCAAACTCCTGGCCTCAAGCTATCTGCCTGCCTTGACCTTCCAGAGAGCTGGGATTACAGATATGAGCCACTGAGCCTGGCCAATTAATCAGCTTTTGACAAAGCATTTGATGGCACATTTAAAAAATTTGTGTTTTTTTGGTAAACATTTCCTATGAGAAGAAAGCAAAGAATAATTTCCTGACACTGTACTGTAAAATATCTCTGTGTGTTTTTTTGTCGTCTCTTTTCCCTAGACACAGGTATTTTTTCAGAATGCTTTTGGGTAAAGTTTTCCCAAATTTTATAGGGTGATGTGTCTTCAGTCACCTTTTAGTTTTTTTCTTGGACCTGGGTTTCAGTACTGTATGGGGATAAACCAAGATACCCACCATGGCCCATGGTTATGTCTGCTACAGTGTCTAGTGAATATCGGCTTCTGTATCATTTTCTCTCATAGGACAACCTGAGGTATTGAGTATAGTTTCTCAAGTGTTCAGGTGGATGTTGAGAGGATAAGAAGCAATTCCTGGTGAACTTTTTTTTTTTTTTAAGCTAATTCCTTGAGACATTCATATTGTCTTCACCCAACCCAGCTTTCATTTCTTGGAGACACATTGCTGGTCATCCAGTAAGATACTAGTATTGAGGAGAAAACAAATAATTTTTGCCTGCTGGATTTTCTTAGGGGGCAGAAAAGTAGTAAAAAATTTCTAGGAAAAAAAACAAAAAAAAAACGAACAAAAAACCCCTACGACTCCAAAAGACAAAAAGAAAAAGAAAAAAACAGGGCTGGGCATGGTGCCTCACGCCTGTAATCCAAGCACTTTGGAGGCCAAGGCGGGTGGATCACCTGAGGTTGGGAGTTCAAGACCAGCCTGACCAACATGGTGAAACCCGGTCTTTAAAAAAAAAAAAAAAGAAAAAGAAACAAACAAACAAAAAAATGACCCCAGTGAGATGGTATAAGAACTTGCAGAGTAAAATGTGCCTGAGGCACTCACTGGGGCATAGTTCAGTCTCTTGAGAGGAGGTTATTGAGCACTCAAGTGAGCAGGATAAGGTGGGACAATCTCTCAAGTAATTGAATGGCTTGACTTCTTGACACATGAGTAAGACAAATCTGTACCTTGAAAAGATTTGTTCACTTACTTTTACCTAAATTTTTTTGTTTGTTTTTGACAGAGTTAATCTCTACCACCCAGGCTGGAGTGCAGTGGTGGCATCTCGACTCACTGCAACCTCCAAATCCTGAGTTTATGTGTTTCTCATGCCTCAGCCTCCCAAGTAGCTGGGACTACAGGTGTGAACCACCATATCCAGCTAGTTTTTGTATTTTTAGTAGAGACAGGGTTTTGCTATGTTAGCCAGGCCGGTCTCAAAATTCTGACCTTAAGTGACTCACCTGCGTGAGCCTTCCAAAGTGCTGAGGTTACAGGTGTGAGCCACTGTGCCCAGCAGACCTCAGTTTTTTAACTGTATATTGCATTTTATTAGTAGAGCTTGAAAGGCAAGAAAATATTTCCAAACGCCATAACATACATGAGTTACAAAAAATTAATATCTAATAATATATTTATTTGTTGAAAATTTTCATTTGCCTTTTTCTTTCTCAGAGTGAATTTAGAAATTTTCTCTGTTTTTTTTTTTTTTTTTTTTTTTTTTTTTGAGAGTCTCGCTCCATTGCCAGGCGCCAGGCCGGAGTGCAGTGGCGCGATCTAGGCTCACTGCAACCTCCGCCTCTTGGTTTCAAGCAATTCTCCTGCCTCAGCCTCCCGAGTAGCTGGGACTACAGGCGCATGCCACTACGCCCAGCTAATTTTTGTATTTTTAGTAGAGACGGGGTTTCACCATGTTGGCCAGGATGGTCCCGATCTCTTGACCTCGTGATCCACCTGCCTCAGCCTCCCAAAGTGCTGGGATTGCAGGCGTGAGCCACCACGCCCGGCCTCTGGTGTGTTTTTTATGGCTCAGTGATTTCAAACAGAATTCTATCTAGCTTTTAGAATGTTAGTTACAAAGGAAAATAATAAAGAAAATTTCTATTCAATTTCAACTGTAGAAAATGAATACATTTCCACGAAAAGTGTGGTAGATAATTGGTGAGTTACATAGATTTCTGAAAACTTCAGTTCTTTTTTTCTAGCCGGGTAAACTTGTGACAGTGAATATCTTTGTTTTATATCCTGGTTTTGTTTGTTTATTTTTGAGATGGAGTCTCACTGCGATGCCCAGACTGGAGTACAATGGTGCAATCTCAGCTCACTGCAACTCTCCCTTCCCTGGTTCAAGTGATTCTCCTGCCTCAGTCTCCTGAGTAGCTGGGACTGCAGGCACATGCCGCCACACCCGACTAACTTTTGTATTTTTAGTAGAGACAGGGTTTCACCATGTTGGCCAGGCTTGTCTTGAACTCCTAACCCCAAGTGAATCCACCACCTTGGCCTCTCAGAGTGCTGGGATTACAGGTTGCCTGTACAATACACCATGCCTGGCCCTATGTCCTGTTATTTTGATTTTTGAGTTTAATGCTAAATTTTATTTTATTTATTTATTGTTTGAGATGGAGTCACTTTGTTGCCCGGGCTGGCGTACAATGATGTAATCTTGGCTCACTGCAACCTCCAGCTCTGGGATTCAAGCATCTCTTGCCACAGCCTCCTGAGTAGGGATTACAGGCATCTGCCACCATGCCTGGCTAATTTTCGTATTTTTAGTAGAGAGAGGGTTTTGCTGTGTTGGCTAGGCTGGTTTTGAGCCCCTGACCTCAGGCAATCTGCCTGCCTCGGCTTCCCAACGTGTAATTACAGGTGTAAACCACTGCATCTGGCTCATTGTTTATTACATATTTTTTAATACAAATAACAAAATAATACATTTATTGTTTGAAAGAAATAAATACTTCTTCTTTTCTTACTCAGGTATAAAAGGTAAGCACCTTAAAATTTTTTCCCCTTATATGAAGACTTTGAGGAATTTTGGGAAGGTCTTATTGAAGATAAAGTTGATTTTTTTTTTTTTTTGAGATGGAGTTTCGCTCTTGTTACCCAGGCTGGAGTGCAATGGCGTGATCTCAGCTCACCGCAACCTCCGCCTCCTGGGTTCAGGCAATTCTCCTGCCTCAGCCTCCTGAGTAGCTGGGATTACAGGCACGCGCCACCATG